GTTATTTTATGTCAAATGTATTTTTTCAAATAGTAATAACGTTATTACACGCAAAATACAGTAATAATAAATCTACATTTTTTCCGGGGTGTTTTAACAACCAATCAAAATAAACTTCCGCTATGCTCTAAACCTATTCCAATCCTTAACTATGCCAATTTGGGGTAAATGTCCGCTGTTAGCTTGTCGATCGATTTTCTTTTTCAAAAGTTAACTTTTTAATTTAATTTCCAGAACATAGCGAAGAATCCTCTATTACTACGTCACCCCTCTTCAATTCTTCCGAAGATCTGCCTCTGATCATTGCCTTTAAGCAGGGTTGTGAATAGACAATAGGTAAGCCAATAGCTCAATAGACAGTCTAATGCTCCAATGGTGTCTAATTAAGTCATTAGACAATAGACAAATTAATATATAATTTAAAACAATTTGATTGGTTAATTTTAGATATAATCATCTTGCTAATATATAACAAACAGTTAGTTTAAGACCAATAGACATAGACTCATTAGATCAATAGAATTCCAATAGACCATTGGACGATTAAACGATAATTTTTTTGATTAGACTATGTCTATTCACATCCCTGTTTTAAGATTGGTGTTTGGGCATGTGAATTGGTTCGCGTCTTGCTCGTGGCCCGCCACATTTCCTTTTTGATTAAAATGGAAAAGATTTCATCAAATATTTTTATATTATATAGCTATAATTGAACCTAGGACTAACCGCATCCACTTATTTGCGCCGGTAATAAGCCTCTAAAAGGAAATGGCCAATCAGAGAACACAAATCTCGGGTATTCCGGATCAGCCCGACATAGAATTCGAACACGTACGAAAGTAGAAAAAAAGAAAGAAAGCGTACTATTTTTACGCACTTAGTTTATTTACAAATTTTGATTTCCTTTTTTGGTTGTGTTACCGGCACACAAAAATGCGTGGCAGATCCCCGATTTTGATTGGCTAAGATCGACGATCAAAAATTAGACCGGAATTACTCATGATTTTATTAATGAAATCGCCGCCGCCTATTAAGTGAAAATTGTTCCCGGGCCAATTTTATCATAATGCGTGCTTATCTTTTCAAAATTTTTATTTTTGTAAAGAAAGCTTAAAAAGTTAATTCCGGCCAGTAATTAGTTAGCAATTATGTAATGCAGGCCAAAATTTTGAAGATAAAAATTAGAAAAAATTTTAAATTGTGGGGGTATGAATAACAAATTTGGGGTATATATATTAGCCCGCCTTTATTAAATATGTAAGGGTCAAATTTTAGCATAGATAATTACATTGCCCATCCCTAATCAAAATCAGAATCACTAGATCATGAGATATCACGAGTTAGTTAAACTTTTTTTTAAATGTTCTTTTGTACTAAAATGAGTACGAATTTGAAAGTCATTTTTGTACGATTTAATGAATTTGAGTGTTAAAAGAGATATTATAAAATTAAGTTACAGCTGCTGCTTTCAAAAGTTTAAGCAAGTGTAAACCATTATAACACCGGAAACTAACGCAATTTCCTTGATTTTCATGATTTCAATTTAATTTCTCTTATTCGAAGAATCAATGAAACCAGAAGTCATGTAATTTCTATGATAAAATGATTTACAATGACTTACATCTTTCTGGAAACAGCCATAAATCGAATCCATCATTTAATGAAGGGCTAACACTTAGTTTCCTAAACAAATGTATTAGATAACTCAAATAAATCTTTGAATAAATGAAAAAATCTCAAAGTAATTTTAGTTACTGTATCAAAAAAGCAATATGAATGCGGTGATAAAAATTTACACTGCTAGTAATTATGAAGTAGATTATTTAGTTTTTAAATTTACAAATTTTTACAATTTTAAATTGAGAATTAACACACAAATATATAGCTAATTTTTTTAAAATTTCATTATCTTCAAGTTGGAAAAAAATAAAAAAGATTTTTTTTAAAAAAACCAAACCATTCAAATTATGCTAACCTAATAATCGCTAATATGAACTTCCGAAATAGAGCGGCTACCTTAAGTGGACAATAATAAAGCAATAAATTAATACTTAATACCAATGCATTAAATATATAAGCAATGTGAAGTAATTTCAGTCCTTTTAGTACCTTTAAGACGCTTTGTTATTTCTTGTGCAACGATTAATGTGCTACAATATTTATTTTGAAGCATTGATAAAGATTTTAGTGTTGTTTTTTTAATTATACTATCAGCTTCAATGAATTTCTTTTTTATATCAAGTTTCATCTTATCTGTCAAAATTTCCGATTCTAAAATTGTTTTCCATTGATTAATATGTAAATGAACGTATTCAGCAGTAGGTCGATTTTGTGGATTTGAATCCATGCATTGTTTAGCTAAATTAATATAGCAATCAGGAGTTCCTTCGGCAAATTCTGGACGTAATCCATTGCAAATTTTTAATTTGAGTTCAAGATCGAATTTAAACTCATCGAAAGGCCTTTTTCCAGTTGTTATTTCTGTCATAATAACACCCAAACTATAAATATCAACCTCTTGTGTGTGTTGACAGCCCTGGAGAACTTCTGGAGCAACATATGGAATGACTCCATAAATACCTCTTTTTGGATCATCCTCTTCTTGTTTTC